GAAAACATCTTTTAAAGCTGTCATGGTTGCAAAAACCTTAAGTATACAGCTAATAATTTTGTGTTTGTGTGGGTTTAACAAATGCTGAAATGTTTTACCTGCTTCTCTCTGCCTAAACGGATATTTTAAGAAAATATCTTCTCAGTTTTCCAACAGAAGTCATCTTCTCTCACTTACCTTCTCCCAGAAAGAAAAATTGCTCATAAAACAACCTGTCTTCTGTCCAAAATCCTTGCCACAGTAGCTAAAGTAGTTTGTCAAGGTCTTTGTCTTCATGGATGCAAACGTACCTTAACTGTTCATAACAATATATGTGGATAGGCGCACCTTTTTGTGGTCTCTCTTCCCTGAAACAGGAGTTGTTTTGACTTCTAGTCAATTTTACAAGACTGACAATACCACAGTCAGACTCATGTGGTTGTTATATAGAAAAGCTGTTGGATGTAATAGCTGCCTTCTGTTTCTCAAGAGACAGAGAGGTGGCTGCTGTTGGGTGCAGCTGATAAATCTGAGCACACACATTTTCTACACAGTACCTTGAGACCATGAATTCAGACAGACTGGAGGACTTCTTTTATGTACTGTGTGTTAATGTAAGAATGAACTGTTCATTTTGATTACAGAGTTGTACATTGAAAGTGCACAAGGTGCCTCTTCCTGCCAGTGAATTTAAATCTGGCCTAAAAGGAAAGTGTAGTGAGTGATATCCTAGCTAGAAAACATGTTGGAAGATGCAGGACCCTCATATTTTCTCATTTTATTTTAAGATAAATAGGAGTTGCATTTGCTTTTCTGGGTTTTGGTCTGTGCACAGTTTGATTGCTAGACTCCATATTATGAACACCAGAGATCATTTTTTTCAGGTATTTACTTGTACTGTGATGGCTGTATGGTCCTTCAGCCAAGAGTTTGTCTGCAGGTGTATTGTTCAGATATACAGAATAGAAGTCTTAAACAGAAAATTGCTTAGTAGACTTTTAACACTTTCAATGTGCTTTATTGCTCTTTGATCAGATGATATTTTTTAACTTACTGGGTGTTTAAGTACAGAACTGAAGTTTGTGTCTGAATCAATTTAATTATTAATTTTTCTTATGTTGCTCCAATTGAGAAAAGTTAGAATGAATGCTGGATTATTTTTCTTCTTTGTGCTTCAATTTCAGGTGAAACGGCTTTTCAGATACTGGATTTTATTAATTGCCAAGTTCAAAGATAATATATGACTATGTGAAATAGTTCTTTAGATTAACAGAGCCCGTATAATTGCATGAGAAAAAGTAGGAATTGCCTATGGTGTCATGAAGTGCAAGCAGAGCTATTTTGCGTGTCCTTAGGAGCAGAACTGGGGAGTCCAGGGGTTAAAACTATTCTGCAGATGCAGATGCTCTGGAATAAACAGAACAAAACTGGGAAGAAAGGTACTGATTTCTTGCTTTAGACTGTTCTCTTTCCTGACTCCACCTCATTCCCTCAGGAGTGGGGAGGAAACAGCAGAGGAGTTCAGATGAGTGACTCATGAGAAGTATTCTAGAAGTATTGTAACTTATATTCATGGTGATGCTGAACAATCATCTCTGTCTGTATGTGATAAAATCAGCTTATACTGGGGCATGTCTGTTTACTTAGAGCTGTAGCTGTTAAAAGCAATTTTTGTCTTCTGAAGAAATACACAGATTAGGTATTTGCCTTGCAAAGTTGATATATGACTTGGTTCTAAGTTTTTTTCCTTTTTATTGGAACCTGACAGAACAATTTTCTTCCTTTCCTAGATATTTTTAATCATAGAAAATATTACCTGAAACCAGTTGGATTAACCTCAGCCCAGAAAAAACTTGGTAAATGCTGATTGGCAAGAGAGAAATCCTTATCTGTGTAGATTCTCTGATACTGAATGTCCTTTGGTTTTTGGTGTCATCAGCAGGGCTGCTACAGTCTTTTGCTTATTTTTTCCTAGAGAAGAGAGCAGATCCATAGAAAGAAGGTTGCTATTTTTAGCTGATTCAGAGTTCATATTTTTTCTGTCTAGCGTAGATGGCAGACATCTGTGTTTTAACCTGCAGGTTGCATTCGTGTAATATATTCTCTTTATATGCACCCATTAAAGACTCTTGAAACTTGATTTGCTTAAAGACAATTGTAGTTTGAAAATGACAACATGTTTTTTTCTTACAGCTACCATGTCAACAAAAAAGCCTTTATTTTTGCAAAAATGCATATCATCATTGCACTTCTTAAAATTTGAGAGTTAAGTGTGGAGCTCTTACTTTGCTAACAGATCTTGTGGAGGTCATCAGATCACCACTCAAACCCCTGTAGACATGGCATTCTTTTTTTAAGTTAGGCCATTTTTGAGCTTTCTTTCCTACTTCTCATTTCATAAGCTTTTGTATGGAAATAGATGACATTTGGAGAAGACGAATGATGATGACCTGCTGTCTTCAGTTATTTTAAGTTTTACTAATACAAACTGTGTGAGATGCAATGTTCTTTATACCTTCGGAGAGTTCTGTTATGATTCCTAAATTAGTTTGAGGAACAGAAGCTTAAATTAATCATCTTGAATTTACTCTGCTTTCATTCTCTGTTGCTATTAACTCTTCTGCACAGAAAGTTGTTCGTCTAGATAAGCTGCTGAAAAATTGAAGCCTTAGTTTGGTTTCTCACAGTAGAATTCCAAACAGCTTTTGGTTTTTAGAAGACCTCTTAAGTAACACTAGAAACTGCATTTTGCGCACCAGAAGATATTTTGGATAGTTTTTTGAAGTTGAAAGAAGAAGTCATTAGAGACGTTGTTTGCATTGAGATGAAGGACAGCGTTTGGTTGAAGGGGATGTAAGGGGGAAATGCCAGTTAATTGTGAGCAAAAATTAAATATCCAGAACTAGGTTTTCCTTTGGTTATAGGAGAAATCGCACACACACATTCCTATCATGAGCAGGGTGGTTTTGCTTACTTACATGGTTTAGATTGCTATAGAAATCAATAGAATATTGACTCAGTTGTGCTGGTTCTCTTTCTAATGCAAACTATGATGTACTGGCATTTAACTCTCTGTTGTAATGTCAGAATTCAAAAACATACAATGTTAGGTGAGATTTATGTTAACTTGCTTTTGGAAATTATTTATATTAATTGTATTATATCTAAGATCGCTAGAATAATTATCAGAGTAAATTAAAATGTTCAGCATTTTCGCAATTAACTGAGAGTGAAAGAGTACTTTTAAAGGTAACTATTGAGGTAAAAAATGGACCTTATTCAGATTATTTGAACTAAATTCGGCATTATCTCTACCTAGCAATGTGTCCAGTTGGTAATTCCAAAGAAAGCATATGGAACCATTGGCATTTGCTTACTGCATAAATGTACTCACTCTTGAAAAGTGTTCATTTACACAGAACATATGGGCTTAGCTGGAAAACCATTATCTAGCAAGTGTGTGTGTATCATAGGAAGCTTGAGTATGCATTTTGCCAGAATTTTGCTTTTACACATAAAATCTGAGTTTTAATTTTTTTTTTTTTTAATGCATGTTTAGTTATGCAAATAAGCTAAAGGGTCTGTTCCTTGGGGCATTTTTCACAAATAGAAAACAAGCTATTTTCTATGTTGTGGTTGTTGTGTTCTATAGCAGACAGTAGGGTGTTGCAATAGCTGAGCTTTGAGGATGTCCATGGTTTATTAGAACTAGTTCTGCTGTGGCCAAGAAGAACATGAGTTGTCATATGTACTCAGGTGAATCTGTCTTGTTGCTTTTTAATAAATAGCTGAAATGCTAGAACAAAGCAGTGTGGTGTACAAATCATTGCTTTTTTTGTAATTAAGACCAAAAGTTTGAGATCTCAAAACAACTAGACTATGTAATGAACAGAATATATTTATAAAGTTATTTGTTAGTTTTGTGAAATTTTAATCTGAAGTTTCATGATGAATCAGAATCTGGTGCTATATTCTGCCAGGCCAGGACTCTAGAGGTTAGGGAGCCCTTGCCCAAGGTACTTTTTTGCACTTAGAATTAAGTTTCACCTGCATAAAGTGTCAGGGGAAAGGGAGGTGTTTAAGCAATTCATTATGTTACAATCAAGCTACTGTAGGCATTTTTGAAAGAGTTCATGTAAGCTTTTCCTGTCTGTGGCCCCCAAAGGTGGGAATTCAGTATGTCTATTTATATCCAAACCATTTACATACCATTTAAACCTGTCTTTAAACTTGCTCACCATTGACAAATTCTGCTCTTAGCAGCCACTGAAGGACATCAGAATTGCCTTTGTGCTGCACAGCAGGAGCAAAAACCCTCCCTCTGTTCCTGTAGCACTGAAGCTTATCCAGCAACTTTTGACAGAAGCCATTTACATAATACACCCACGAGCCAGCACCATTTAGGCAGATTCAAGCTGAAGTATTTATTCAGCAAGTTGTAGGGCTTCATATTATACTTAATTATTATGGTATATTTTAATAATATTATATTTAAATTATACTTAATGGAATTTTTTTTCTAGTTGAGGTTGTGTTTGTCTGCACTAATTGCAAAACCCACGGGTTTGGTCATTAATAACTGGCTTTTTAATAGTCAGCTTATTGCTTTAAGATTTTACTTTTCATTTAATTTTCAGAGGATTTGTGTGGGGCATTTGTTGTCTTTAGTGAGTTAAGTGAGAACTGTTTTGCTGCTCTGACCAGTGCCATATGAAAGCAGTTAAAGTGCTGGAATTGTTTACTGCCTAAAGTGTAGTTAGTCAGCAGAGCTAGTACACCACATTGCTTTGCGGCTTTTAGTGGAAAATATTAAACAGTCGCTCTTTCTTCAGTTATAGAATTTTTACGTTTTCAGCTGCGTTAGTCACCGAACTGGCGCAGGCTGCAAAGACTGCCCCCCAAAAAAAGCAAAAGGCGGGTTTTTTTTGGTGCCAGAGGAAGTTGCCCTGGGAGCGGTGGCTGGGTGCTCTGGTAAGTGTGACATGTGAGCATTCCTAGGCATTGCACCCTGGCAGGCTGCAGTCGCTGCTCTGCTCGCCAGGCTGCTGCTCAGGGGGAGCGCTGCCGTGGCACTGCTTGGAGCCGCTCCTGCCGACTCGGACAGCCGAGCTGCTTTTTCGGCTTGACAAGGCTATCTGCTGATTGTATAATTTAATTTATCAAGGAAAAAACCTGATAAGCAGAAGCTCTAACTGAAGAGGAGAATCGTGTTGGCGCAGTGACAGATGTTCGGATAAAGAAGTTGGCTCAGAGAAGATGTACAGAGCCTGAATTTTTTTTTCCTTTTTTTTCCTCCCCCTCAATCTGAATGAAGACTATCATGGGAACTGCATTCACATGGTGATCAAAAGAAACACTCGAGTGATGAACTGCTTTTGCAGAAGTCTTCTAAGGCAGTAATTTGAGCTTTTGTGTGCAGTAGCTAGCTTGTTTTGCTGAAGCATTCCTCCTCGACTGTATTTTTGCCTTAACGCATTCCCTGATGGAGAAGCCACAGCTACTGCCTGGTGAAGGAAAAATGAACGCTCCGCATTGCTCGTGTCCCTGACGGAGTAACACCGGCTGCGCTGCTTTTGCTGGATTCAGCCGGCAATATTATTCAAGGAGTTCATTGTCCCTGTGCTCTGACTCATTGCATGTAAATGTGCTGCAGCCGTGCTGCACGTTGCAGCTATTTTCTTACATGGGAAAGAATTCTTTTCCTCTGAGCAGGTCCTGAATAACTGCTGAAGCGAGATGTGTTTTTCTGTCTGGACTGTTTTTGACATTGAGAAAGGAAGCTGTAGAATGGCAGGATGATCGGGAGGCGCGTTTATTTTCAGTCACCAGAAAGCCTGTGAGGGTTGATTTAAACTGACCTTGCAGGAGCGGGAATAGCTGCGGCCGGCTCTCTCGGGGCAATTGTTCCTTGTTCCGTCCTCTGCAGGACAGAGTCGTGTCTTCTGCAACAATGACTTCACTGTGGGGGTAGAAGGACGCTGTGGAAGTTGTGACATTAACAAAGACAAATTTGCTTCTGAAAGGACAGCTGTGTGCGACAGTGAGTGCTGTTCGAATGGAATTGGATCTTGGGATATTTTTATCAGCTGTTCCACAGTTTCGTTTTTGTGGTTTCGATGCTTAGGGACTTTTTATTTTATAAAGAACAACTTTTTTTCAGCAGTGTCTTGAACATCTCGTGGTGTTTAAGTCTGGAAAATGAAGCGTGGGGGGGGATTGGAATGTCCCTTTCTAGATGCTAAGACACCAGCAGTAGCACTCACAAGTTGGTGAGGGCCTGTGAAACAGGTGAAAGTATTTCCTCTATGGTCACTATTGCCATACCTGCAGTCTGCTTCCAAAAATACCATTGCTGGCATTTTCTTGTTTGCTTTTGCTTCCTCAAACGGATCGAATGAGTCGAGTCTGTATTGTTGTTTTGGAGGAGGAGGAAGATGATTCTCCCACATTTACTTCCAATTTACCTCAGGAAAATGTATCTGTACATCCATCGCCCTCTGGAAACACGCTGGTAAGGCATGTTGTTTGTTGGCATATTTCCTGCTTATAATGCTGTCTCAAATACCGATAGCTATATTCCTAAGATAAGGATGAATATGTACGATGTTGAAACAAGACAAGGTGATGAAATCTGCGTGTAATAAAGATGGAAAAAGCTGAAACTTAGTGGTAGAATTTATGCTTGCAAGGGTCCTTTCTATTTCATGTAACCTTATTTGTGGTGCAGCAAGAACAGGTCGTGATTCTTGTGTAATAGCAGTGGGGTTTTAGAAGGCTTGGGGAAGTGTATTTGAAGTAAATGGGTTTTCCCTGCTCCACTTCTCACTCTTCAATAGTACATTTATGCAGTACCACTTTAGAAGCTGATGTGATCATTGTATTATAATCATATGCTGTGTTTATTTTGAGAACTGATAAGAGTACATAGTTATACCAAACAAGAGCAATTCTAAGCTTAAATAAAAATTAACATAAGCCACAATCTCGGTATAACTGTTAGATTCAAGTTAGCACTTTCTGAAAATGATCAACACTGGGGACTGTGCTTTTATTGCTTTAAATTACTTTATTCTGTCAAGTGACTGACTTAAATCTTGCTAGCATACCTCAGCAGCTTTTCTTACTTACTAAGAAATCCTGCTATATTTAGTAATAGATGTGTGTGAGTGTGAATTTGTTACCATACTTATCTGATGCACTTTGCTTTCCCACTCTGTCTAAACAGGTGAAAGACTTCCAGTAACTTGAGTCATGCTAATGTAAAAGGGGATTGTTTGCTTATACTGTATAGAATTTGCAGCATGTAATGACAACCCTAATTTTGTTCTAAGGCATTCTCTTTTCAGCTGTTATAAGCTTGTCTTCTCAGCTCCTTTTTTTTTTCTTTCACATATATATTTAATTGACTTAGAGGATGTCTGTGTGTTTGAGGTTTTTAAAACTTGCAATTTCTTTGATTCTAAATACTGGTGCTGTTTTTTTTGTTTTACTGCTTGGAATGGGTATTTTTGTCATTACCTGGGGTTTCTGTTAGGTATCAAAAAAACCTGTATGTGTATCACTACAACCTGAAATGGGGTTTTATTTTAAGACGTGTTTTTTCTTTATTTTAGCCACCATTGGTTCAAGCTATATTTAATGGAGATCCTGATGAAGTTCGAGCACTAATATTTAAGAAAGAAGATGTTAATTTTCAGGTAAAATCAAATATAATTATCTTTGAATATATTTTAATTTTGAATATATTTTAATTTTGTTTGTTATATCTTTCTGCTGTACTAATCTTTTAAAAACTTTGCTAATTCTTGAGCTGTACATTTTATATTCTAGGCTAAGTACTGCTTGTACATACACAATACTGGGAATGAGGCGTATAGCTTTGCAGATTTGTGTGAATAGTAAAGACCTAATTTTATATTCCTTGTAAATGTTAGCTCTGCAGTGCTTGGGTAACTGCAAAGTTTGTTTATAGAGTTGCATCAGACTAATTTACAGAAAGCTAGACTGGTTGAGTGTGATGCTATGTAGACTTGAATTGTTTTTAAATTGAATATAGCATATAGTATACATGAGACAATTATAAGAACATGGTCTGGGGTTTCAGTAGGTATATTTAATAGTGAATTTTAAAAAAGGAAGCCTAATGGTTGTATTTGCGAGAATGAGAAACTGGGTTTTTATTTTTGCAGTGCTGCAAACTCAGGCACTGCAGACATAAAAAAATATGCTGAAATGGTACTAAGTTTGTTCCACTGGGTGATATTCAAGATTTAAACAGCACACAGTTACTGTATTTCTATTAAAATTCTAATATTCATGTTTGACACTATGAAAGATAATATAGCATAAACTCTTTACATGGGTTAGAAATTGCTTTGCTTATTGGAGCAAACTGACACAAACCATTTAGGGCTTATGCTACAGGAATGTACATAGCTGTTTCTCCTCCAAATGCCTCAGAGCAAGAGTGATGCTAAAGGGCAAAGGCTAAGATGTAGTTGCTACCTAGGGGCCCATTTAAGACCATGATGATTGTTTACACTTTCTTCTGGGGAGATGTAAACCAAAAGCAAATATTTAGTTTGGTATGTCTCTTTTGACATTTAAAAGCATTCTGCAGAATTTACAGCTGAGAAATGCCACATGAAAAGTCCCAGTGTAAGGGAGCCTCCCTCTTGAAGAGCTTGAGTAGGACCCCTATATAAAGAAATTTTTGTCAAATCTGAAGCTTTTTTTGATAAGGTTGGACTTTTTATCCTCTTTCAGGAGTTTTGTATGTCCTGAAGCAAGATTGTGTGATGAATTATATAAAAAGACTTAATATTCTTTTTAGTTATGAGAGCATTAATTTTGTACCATTCCCATGTCTGCATCTGTATGCTCTGGTCACATTGCAATTTTTGTTTCTAGAAGATAATTAGTGTTGTTACTTTGTATTCATTCATGTGTTAAAGTCAGGTTTAGCATTCATAGCTATAGAGCTTGTAAACAAAGTTAGGTTTACTATCTTTCTGCTTTTTTAAAAATTATGTATTACCAAAGCCTCTGCTGTATTTCAGCATGTATGTGGGAGTGGTTTGGTATTGGGTTTTGTTCTTTCTCAAGTTCTGTCGAACACTTGCAAATAAATAGGAAGATAGGAAGTCAACTGATATGCTTAAATAGGAAAGCTCATATTTTTTGCTGTCTTTGAAGAGAATTACTTCATATTGCCAGGTACTTATTGTAGGAAGAATACTCAAAATCTGGAGGTTTTTACATTTTATGTCTTAATTTTTTTTTTTTTTTAAATTCCTTTCTGTGAATACATCTCCCTTTAACAGAACACATGTGCACTAGGTGTTAGCCTGGTAACACCCAAGGTGTGGTTGGAGTCCACACAGGACAAATATGCCATTTTCACAACCACCTTCTTCAGCACAGAATTCTTAAGCATGTGAGATGCTTATCACACATGACCACTGTTTATTATCATGGCAATCCTAGTCCTGCTACAGTATTTAAGATTGGATTTACATTTATTCCTTAAATACTGTTTGTTGGGACTAAATGAGCACGTGAATTCTGCTATTGTCTGGTAAAAATGAAGTAGACTGCCTAATACCTTTTTCTGTGTGTGTGTGTGTGCATTTTGTTGCTTTCCTTGGTTTTTTTTGTTGAAAACGTCCTTGGCTAGAGGTAATATATCTCTACATAAGTCTAGATCCAGAGTTGCTCCCTGAGTTGTGTTACAACTTGGTATGGACAGAAGAAGGGAAAAAGTGAAGAAAATGTGGTAGTTATTTGCATTCCTAAAAAAGAGAAGGATCAGGATAAACTGTTTTGACCACTGTGGATTGTATTAGACCAGTGTATACTGGATTTTTTTTCCATGTTGCTATCCAAATATTTCAGTAGTTATTTGAATTCCAGAGTCACTCCCTCCAAAGCCTCTGCAGAGTCATTTCCCCCTCTCAAGAGTAACTAATTATTTTGCAGTTTGTAGTCTAATAGTTGAGATTCCTTCCATCCTCCCTTCCCCTGTGCATGGGCCGGCCTCTGTAACTGGAGACCCAGCAGCATTTTGTGAGTTAATTTTGCCCGAAAGTGAACTGAAGATAGGGCTGTTGTACATCTTTGTTGTGACAGTGATATTCATCTAGGAAGGTTTTGTATAATGAAATGTGGGTATTTTTTCCTTGTGTTTCATCCAGCTTCATTTACCTTCTTTCTTTTACAAAGTCTTTCAGAGTGTGAGTTGCTCTGTGTGACTGTAAGATAATGTACAAAGAGCAAATGGGCTTTTTTCAAGAAGAAGATTGTTTTCTGTTCATGCCACACCAGCCTCTTGAGTCACAGGCTCAGTTTAGATTTAGAAAGTGTGTATTGTATTCCATCTGCTCTTGTAATCTTTTGTGAAGAAAGAACAAATTGAGTGTATCCCTAGCTGCTTAAACTGCGGTTCAAAAAGGCTTACCCTCCCTGCAAGCTGGAAATGTGCAGCTTTTTATAGACAAAACTGATTTATAGGAACTCTGTTCAAATAAATTGTTTGGAAGGTGTACTTTCCTGAGGCTCCAGTTAATGGAAAAAAACCCCAAAAACAGAGAGGATGGGGTTGCTTTTCACTCATCTTTCCACAAGACAGCTTGAGTAACTGTAGCTGCTTGTTTCATGAATCAGGCTTAAATCACATGCATCACATATGTCAAACAGCATAGAGTTTCTGTTACAAGCATGATTTTTGCTATGCTGTGTGTGTTTAAAAGATTATTATTATTTCTTGGTACCGTCTTGATCTTTTGAGACTTGACAGAAAGGAAAGTCTTGCGTGATAATGGGCACATTTAATATCTATTAGTTAATGGAGACCCTCAACGTTTCCTGCTCTTGCTGATTAGATTAGCGTGGCTGGTTTGAATTCTACTTTTCAGCAATTAGTTTTAGCTAACTGAATGATTTCAGCATTGCATTTATAAATTAGTATTGGTTTGGACATTTTATTTTTAAGATTTGGAGACCTGTTACTGTTATAAACTCTGCCATTTCTGTTTGTAATCAAAACTGGGATGATGTACGTTTAGTTTAAAAGATCATGAAAATGGAATATTTCATCTCAGCTATTAGTTAAGAATGTAATTCTCTCAAGGGAATACCAGCTCAGTGTCAAAAATGATTTAAAGGTTGCAGATCTGACTACTGAAGCGATGGTTCAAAATCAGAACAATTTTTCCTCCTCCTAGACCTATTAGGGTAGTATTTCTTGTCATGAAAATTGATACTTCAGGTAACCCAATATGCATTTTTTATAACCCCATTGCACTTGATCTTAGCTGAGGGGACAAACATCTGATCCTTTCTGGAACTGGTGTTAGTGTGCCTCTTGCTCTTCTCACACTATATCCAAACACGCTTTTTTTAATGGAGGATTCCCAAAATCACACAGATCTCTGACAATGCTCAAAAGTGCTCACTGTTGCTATATAAAATAGTAATATTGACATATGTGACAAGTGACTTAAAAATTAAGTACCTGGATCTTGCTTTGTATTGTGCTTTGTGAGATTAAAATAGATTTAAACTATGAAATGTTCTAAAGCTGCTTTATGTGTGAGTTGGTGTTTTTTCCCAACATAAAATGTAATAATGGGAAGTTAAATCCTCATGCTGTACCATTACAGCCATTGTTACCCTGTGGCAATCAGGGTTCTCTGTATGGTTTCTGTTCTGAATTATTGATCCAGCATGCTCCTAATTTAATGCCTTTTTTGTACAGTGAGTAACCACAAAGTAAAAATTCACCTGTGCTGCTATTTTGGGAAGAAGGGAAAAACAAAATCCAACCATGCAAACAAACAATCTTTTGTCTGCGCTCCCTAACCCACACCTATATTAGACAGCATTGAAGTGTTGCCCATAAATCCCAAGTTTTTTTGGTGGGACTGACAAGGGCTATGATCCTGTAGCACCAAAGTGCTGGGTACGAACAGAATGGCTAAAATTTTGTCTGACTGGTGGTAGGGTGGCTCCATGGATGGCTGTTCCAGTGGAGATGTGGGCTTCATTCCCAGTCCTGCCAATTGTGAGTTTGCATAACTTCTTCTTTGTGTTTTTTGCATAGTAGGAGAATGCTGCTGGATGTTGTTCTAGGATAAGACACAACATTAAGCCATCCTACTCTGCAGGTCACTGTATATACTGAAAGAGGAAAGTTGGCTTTTCAGTCTAGTCACAAGACTAGGACTCCTTATACAGCATCAGGTCTGGGTACCAGGAGAATTAGATTATTAGGGGTCTCAAATTTATTAGTTATTTAAGATTGAATAATGAAAATTTCAGTACAGTTTAAATAACAAGAAAGATTCTTTGAGGTGATGGTTATGGTCAGCAAAGCCCTAAAAGAAAGAGGTTAAATAGAAAAAATAGGTAATGGATTTATGGTGACCTGGCTTTCATCTTTATACTTGTTGTTTGAACTACTGGAGTAACAAGTGTCTTTCTGTACACTTGAGAGTGCAGTGTAGAGCAGGAAAGCCTGAATTATTTGGCTGCAGTATGGAACATTCTACAAGATCTAATAAAGTTTGATGTTCTGATCATGCAAATGAATCCTGTGCCTACTTCATACATTAAAAGAATTTTTATATATGTTGTTTTGTGGGTAATTGTAATTGCTCTCTAATTCAGCAATTACATTGAAGTATATCTCAGTGTAAAG